AATTTTAGGCGCAACTGATGGTGAGAATCTGAGTGACTTCCAAAAACAGTCTGACTTCCCCACCACCTCTCTTAATGTTTTTAAATTCTTACTTAGGTACTGAGTTTTCTTGCTAGTAACTAGATTGTGTACAAATTTAAATAGGCAGGGTCAACCATCAATTGCTCCTTATCGAAAATTTAACAAACTACGACCTCCTCCTTAGGGGGCTTCAACACGCCCTAATACGAATCCCACCTCTAAAAGATTCAAATACAACCCTACCAGCTGCGCAACGCAGGTTTAACTCTGCTCAAGGGTTCGCACAGCTGGCATAAGCCGTATTCTGTTGACGAAAACTCTGGTTTACACCGATTGAGCCTCTTTAAATCGTACTAGCCGGGAGAAGCGTTTAAATCCCTTCACGACTTTGAGTGGGGGTTGAAAGCGTGGCTAATTCCGAAAGGGATTTATCAATTTCATTGCGCTTCAATATGTGACCTGTTGCACGCTGCCTCCTCTGTAGTATTTTTCCAAATAAGAATGTTCCCTAAAACTCACGTTTCAATGGTCGTTGTAGAGAATATTTGAACATGTCTCGTGAATACACACACAGACACTGCAATCAAACAGGGAGATGGGAGCCCTTCTGTTGCCTGGAACATTGGATTTCCATTGTGGTTACCGCATTTCAATCCATGTAAATGAAAGCATATTTATAAGAAAAAACTTCAAAAGCCAAACTAAAAATAGAATTAATCATTGTTGATCTACGATTTCGATTCATTGAAACACACCTTAGCAGCCTCCGAATTCAATACGTCGTACTTCTCTTCAAAGACACATAAAACCAGGAGGAATCCCAGTATGTTAAATAGCAGCGCAAGTAGAGCTGGAGCATTATAGATGCTGAGCCGATAGAATGGCAAAATTTCAATCCCATCGGGTCCAAGCGGTGTGAAAAGCAATTGAAACGCTGAAAATATTTTTACCATCGTCTAATGGTAAGTGTACCTTTTGATGTGTATGTGTGTGTTTGTGTTTGTGTTTGACCGGAAATTTGTTATCGCGAGCAGCAATCGTAGCGCATTTGTTCTTATATATGTTAGAGGGAGTGCGGACACATGGAAAGGATGGTTGCAGAAACTGATAGCAGCCGATAAGGGTGATAAGAGCTGTTGAGAGGAAAGGCCGCCATTCTCATTTTGTCGTTCATGTTGGCGATAGAGCTTATTTTAGATGTACTGGATTGTTCAGAGAAAGCTGCAATATTTCCTACGGAAATTTGATTTGACATCCTTCAACTGACGAGAATTCCTATCTGGAAGAAGAAGGGCAATCCAGGAGACTGCACTAGCTATCGTCCAATTCGCCTGCTTTCGCACAGCATGAAAATCTTTGAGCGAGTTGTAGATAGCCGTATATCCGGGACATCGTCGAGCTGACCACCAACCAGTGTGGTTTTGTGGCTAGTTGCAGCACTATCGATGCCATACATGCCGCTCGCCTTCTGCTAGAAAAGCATCGCGAGAAACAAAGACCGGTGCACCTTGCCTTCCTAGATTTGGAGAAGGCATTCGACCGCGTTCCGCGGGACGTTATATGGTATGCCTTACGACAGCATGGCGTGCCTGAAGAGCTCGTCGAGTGGGTGCGCATCCTTTACTCGAGTCCAAAGAGCCGAGTGCAAACGGCAGCAGGAACATCGATGGATTTTCCCATCTCTGTCGGGGTACATCAAGGCTCTGCGTTATCCCCACTCCTATTTGTTGTCGTCATGGATGCCATTACGAGAGATCTCCAGAAGCCGGCTCCATGGACACTTCTTTATGCTGATGACGTGATGCTCGCTAGCGAAGATAAAAGCACGCTCGAGCAACAGGTAATGTGAGGGTCCGATCCGTCTAGCATGTTTGGGGCTCAGATGACGTTGAAGCTGAGTACTTGACCACCGATTCGAGTGAGTTAGGCTCTATTAAGATCAATGGTACTGAACTCACTCGTGCAACATCATTCAAGTATCTTGGATCAGCAATCGCGTCTGACGGCAGCCTGGTCTTCGAAACGAATTCTCGCGTGAATGCAGCCTGGTCGAAATGGCGCTCGATGACTGGCGTTCTCTGCGATAAAAACATGCCAGAACGTCTCAAATCTAAGATCTATAGGACCGTCATCCGGCCGGTCGCGATTTACGGTGCTGAGTGCTGGCCTACGACTAAAGAGATCGAAGCACGGCTAAGTGTGATGGAGACCAAGATGCTGCGATGGACAGCCGGAGTCACACGAGTAGACCACATCCGAAACGATGTCATCAGAGAGCGATTCGGGGTGGCTCCAATTGTCGACAAGATGCGCGAAGCCCGTCTTCGATGGTATGGTCATGTCCTTCGCGCGAAAGATGACAGTGTCTGTAAGATCGGTCTCAACCTTGACGTGCCCGGAAAGCGGCCTAGGGGGCGCCCGAAGCAGCGATGGCTCGATACATTGCACGTAGACTTGAAGTCAGTTAATATCCACCCCGATCAAGCATTTAATCGGGAAAAGTGGCGTCAACACATAAGAAGCGGGACACCGATTAGGGGACGACGCTTAAATAGAGAAGAACTGGACGAGACATTCAATCACAAGTATTAGAGGATGATTAGCGTATTAGCATATAGGAGAAGATATTGGGCACCTCTTCTTGAGCATTTTCATCAATATATCTATAGACTTGAGTTCGATTAGCTATATTGTTGAATATAGGGGTACCGTCAGGAGGCCGCCGCGGAGGATGAGTGCAGAAGGCGACGGGGTCGCCGTGGAAGATGCAGCGCGTATGATAGCTGTTACTTAAAGTCACGGTCCAACATCGCAAAATACGCTGCAGCTTGTCCGCTTCCCTGTATGAGTCTGTGTCTTTTCGCCGCGCGATGGGCTCCCTGTGGGGTAGCCAAATATGTACAATAGCGCTCAAACGTCGGCACATACACTTTTTTTCTAGAGTAAGAAGTTGTAGAAAATTTTATGCGCTCTGCTAAAACATTCGTAATACTGATTAGAAAGTGAATTTACATAGACCATGATGTGATTATAAGACATTTTGCGTCCTCATTTCCGCTCAAAGCGGTAGCAAACGTCACCTTACCTGGTCCAATTAAGAGTTCCTGTAGCGATTCCACTAGTCACACAAGCTATAGCACGTGAGCGATCAGACTTTAACGATGATGTTGATGCATACGCTCTGAGAAGTGCCATATTTCCTTAACTATAGCTTCTACAGCATTATTCGGAAGCATTAAATTATCACAAAATGTTCAAAAAATGGAGTTGTATCATATTAGATTCAAAAGAAAATTAAGGAGCTATTCTAGCGAAGGAGAACTGATCCCCATTGAGCAGCACCTATTTGTACCTGTTCCTGATCCAGTAGTGAATCGGGCTACCATCATCACTGCTACAACACTGGATGGGGCGAAAAATTGCAGCGAAAGGTAGGTGGAGTTGCCAATCATCATAAAGACAAAACCCGCTAGAAGAGGTATTCGCACCTGAACGCATCTAATTACTCTGTTGCAAACGAAGTAAAAGCAAAATTTGGGAAAAATAAAAAAGATCGCGTGTTATAACTTTACCACGAGAGAAACCCGGGTCTGCAAATTCACATGACATAAACACAACCCACAAAAAACAACAACGGTGGAATAGGATTTCATTCTGAACCCATTATAACGGTGCGCTTATGTGGGGGTCGCAAGCAGGGTCCGTCCGTCCAGCCGATCCAAGCAAGGAGGGCTTGATTAATTTGAATACTGGAGAAGGTTGTAAATACAGAGACCTGATTTCGTTGGAGGATGTTCAGATGTTTCTGACTGAACTCTAGGGCAAAGTGTGACAGCATGGCAGCATCTAGTATTTGTATATTATGCTGTTATTTCGTCAAATTACTTACTTACTTACTTACTTTATTACATGCATAACACAGCAGCCAGGATAAACATCCGAGATTTGATAGCCTGAAGTATATTCTATAAATACTTATACAGGGGGGGGGGGCAAAAAAAAAGACATTTTGTCTCCACTTTCAGATGGATTTAAGCACACTTTGCTCAATTGAGACCGAGTGTTCCCAACTTAATATTGAAGAGCACATTTCATTCTATAAGAAAATCTTCATGTTGGCCACCCACGTGGACGGCAACAGAAGAATTTGCCCTGGAAACATGGTGCACTGGTCGAGCTCAATGGGGTCTTCGAAGGATCGTGTACCATAACGACCCTTACTGGAAAGCTAGTTCCGAGGGGATTTGCACAGTGGTAGCTAATGCCTCTAGAAAACTATCCAACATTAAATCGATTCACGAAATTGCGTAAGAGCTTCAGGCTGAAGCTCTTACGGTAGACCTCCTTGAGCCTGACGACGGTGACAGATGACGTCATATTCTGAAGACGGTGAGGGCAGTGAAGGAGAGCCTGCGTACACTAATAGAGGAACACTTAGGGAATACTCTGCTGAGGAACTCCCGTCAACGACAGCAATCTCTGCGAAGAAAAAAGAGCCGAAGTCCGACATAGGCAAAATGTCTTTTTTTTTTGGCCCCCCCTGTATTCATGCATATTTCGTATAATGTATACTATACGACTTTATTACAGGCACATACATGTGGGGAAAAGTGACTCGTTAAAGAAGGGCGAACCGCAATGAACGTTAATGTAGAAAAGCAAGAAGATAATATAAAACAATATAAAACAGTAAGTAGAAACAAATTATTGGTGAAGTTTTAGGTAACAAACATGAACCCCATTGCGCAAATAGTACAGTTCTTTTCTGTGAGGCCTTTTTCGAATTGCTCAGCAGTATGTTCCTTTCCAACATTTTGAAAATGGCACACCAGCTATTTTGGTGTTTCCTTTGGATCTGCATATTGGACAAGCACTTATGTTAGTTTTAGGATAGAAATGTCGTTCAGGACATGGGAACGCTTTTTCAAAACGGTTTATTGCATGTTACAGAGGCACGTGCGTGGAGCATAAAACTGATAATTTTTTCTGAGCGGCCTTGGAATTGAATGAGAGAGGACAGAAAGGGTAGAAACGCATGCAACAGGATCAAATTGGTGTGGTTGTTGCAGAAATGTATTGGTGCGAAATGGGCCGGCAGTGAAAGAAAAAAGGAAAAGAATCCGTCGAAAACGCTTAGGTTGAGGGCTCACTCACCTTCCTAATCGGCTGTGCTAAGGGAATGAGAGACTAAGCGCGGAGAGGAGAGTATGAGGCGAGAGAGCGCTACAGATGAGAGGGCGCCAGACAACAGCCTGATAAGAGAAAAAATCTGCAGCTGCAGCAGCTTACTTTGCAAGGCCCTAGCGCTCTTGTCGGTTGATTTCCGTGCACGGGAATGCCACATCTGTGATTGTCCTCTAGGGGTCTACCTACAGACCGAAGGGAATCGTTCACACGACTTCTGCCTGGGTTGTGCCTTTAAGACCGAAACTTTTACATTTTCAAGAAAGCCTGCGGTATTTGTATAACGTTGAATAATTGCATTTTGGAAGCTTTTCGTTCCCCGAATAACACTAGACGTATTTGAGCCCAAGAAAGTGGAAATCAGAGAAATGCAAAAATTTGTCCTCAGTGGGGATCGAACCACAAGCCTTGGCTTCCACATGGTTTTTTGCATTCCCACAGCCGCTCAGAGAAATGTTCATCAGTCTTACGCTTACTGTGCATGTCTCTATAACATGAAAAATAAGACCACTCTGAAAAAACGCTCCATGTTCTGAAAGAATTCCCTGGTATGTGGTAATCGTAGCCTCGCTTTCGTCAGCATACCATTGAAGTGCCAATTCATAACAGAAGGGATGAAAAAAAGAAAAATTTCTCCTTAGTTCTCAAGTAAGCCTATTTCCGTGTTTTTGTTCCGTGTGCATTTGAGGTTCAACAATGGCTTATCATGATTTACATAAGTAATGATTGCGATTATCAACCTCAGAGCACTGAGAAGTTATTCGTCACAAAATCGGGCCCCATCAAAAGGTAATAGTATTGCTTTGAAATACGAGTTCCTCACAAACCTGTTCGATTCGATTACTCCAGTAGCCAAATGTCGGTGCCGATATGCATTGACCAAAGCTATACATAGCTACAATAAATCCGTATTGCGTCTCCACAGCATGAGGATTTAGCTGAAAAACTAAAGACATAACTCTGATATTTGGCATCAACACACCTTGCATATTTTGTAGACAGGGAGAACGGATAGATCCGCATAAGAGGATGGATTAACCAACGTGTAGGCGTTGAATGGCGCCCTGAGAGTAATCGGGTAACATAGCATTGAAAGGCAAATTTTTTGGTCGCTCAAGTAGGTCTGAGTTCAAAAAATGGCAGGGACTTGATAATTGCGTTGCTCACGAGCAAAGGAGACACGGTACCCAAGGATTCTTTTTGAAGGAAAGTTTATCACCTCTCTTAGTAACTTTTGGAAATTTTGGGAGAATCAATGAGAACAGGCAGAAACAATGCAAAGAAGAAGTGTTTAGTGAGCCTTGCGTCTGAAGTCACGGGCTTGCTTTCTGCCAAAATCGGCGATCAGATTGTGAGAATCAATGAAGTAGCGAAAATAACTTAGATTAGCTGCGAATGGGAACTTCCTGTTATGTAGGCAGTTGGAGAACATATGCACTGAGCAGTTCTGCTGAAGGTGAGCCGCTGTTCTTGTTGATGGCTCTTGAGCTCTCTCTCTTGAGCATCTCGAGCTCTTAATTTTATGCCAGTGATAGGAAACATAGAAGAATATAAAAAAAGTAAAAACTGATCCTTGGAAAAAAAATTGTCGCTCGCTCACCTTGATGAGGTAAGGCCACATGGAAGTGAAAAGGATACTGAATTGAGTGGCCTGGATAAATGAGCAACAACCAGCAATATAAATGGATGGCCATGGTGTCTTCGAATGCTTCACTTCTTTCTGACTTTGAAATTGTCGCTGTCTCGGAATCCTCCTGAAGCAACTAAAATCATAGTAAACGATGTGAATTTTTTGGCATGATTGATCCAAAGTCTCACTATTAGAGTTCCACTATATGACACACTGATTTAAACTGGAGTCTCAGCGATGTACGACGGGCAAGAAGTTTACCATTTCGCCTCCCAAAACCCTCATGCAGACTCTGCCCGGGGGTTTGGACTTAGGCTTGGGCTCTATACTTACACATGTCTTGGGCTTAAGGTTAACAATTACGATAAAGATGGAAGCATTAGGGAAGCATCTGTACGACCAGAACAGTTACTGGTGCTAGAGAAGGTGGTTAAACATTCACAACGAAAGTGCGGTGATTGACTGGAGCAGGGATTTAAAGGCTCCTCCCACAAAGCGACACCGCCATTTATTACGGGTGGTGACTTGGCGAGCTGGGTCCAGAGTGGACACAACGGCGAGCCATCTCGATTGAAGCATGGTTTCGCATAGCGCCACTGAACGTGTGCGATGAACTCGTTCAGTATGTCCGTTTGAGCTGGTCTCCTGCATGAGGAGAGCTATGCAAAAGTGGGCCCGTCTTTGCATTTTCTTGACGGACTTCTCCGCTTTTCGCCCCTGACGCACGAAAGGGCACCACCATGTCTCCTTTTAGCTGAGGAGGAGAACTGCAACGCCCCCTCCGCCCACCATTTGATCAGTCCTTTCTGCTTGAGAGTCACAAAGTAACTCGCCGGTTTCTTATGTATGTTTTTAGGTATTGGCCAATGCCCCACACATATCAAGCATTTGCCGGTCTTTTATGCAACTTTTCAGTCAGCGGTGGATATTGACAAAGAACTGAGCAAGAAAAAGGCATTGCAGATTAAATGGCGATGGGTACGACAAAATCCATCGGCATCAAGGGATTACATGGAAGTGAAGCGGCAAAGAAAGCGATGTGTGAGGTTCAAAGGTTCGAGGCGTCAAAAGTGCACTAGATTTCTATCAGGCCCTAAGCCTACTACATACAAACCGCCCTGCCCCGAAAGTGCTCCAACCATATGTGTGTTCTTGTGATCAAGTACATTTCTAATCTCACCGTCTACTAAATTTTGGCCCTTCACCTAAGTACACCTTTACCTAAACGGCCACTATCAAAGTGTTAAACAACGTCAGGCCACTAATAAGATTTTCACCTAACAACCTCATTGGCAGAAGAATAATATCATAATTACAACAATGCCGAGGTTCTACGAGAGAGAGAAGTTGGAGTATGCCAAAGCGGTAAACGTTTCTGAGGTCAGGGGCAGAATGAGGCTCAGGTTTCTTTGGCTTTGACGGCTACCCCTCAATTCCTTCACTATGCCGCACCATTTAGCACCTTTGCTTTCATGGCTGATAAACAGCAAGTACTACTCACTACCTTCAGTACCTAACGAGAACTAAATTTACAACCTATTTAGTAGAGCGACTGGAAAAAGGTGTTCTCACAAATGGTGTCATCCAGCGAAATTTCCAGCGACATCAGCGGAAACTCCTTCCTATTTGAGCGGAAAGAAAGTGAGTTTTCTCACAAGGAAGGTCTTTCAGGGTGTGCCAAGCTTTTTGAAAACGGTCTTTTGCATGATATAGGGGCACATGCGGGAACCACAGAACCATGGTTAATTTTTCCTGAACGGCCCTCTGAATACCAGAAAAGGGGGTCCCTAGTCACACCTTTTTCACCAGTTTTTCAATCAAAGTCTATTTGTAAGGGTTACTGACGTTCCTAATCATGAATTTGGTACTAATTATTCATGCTAACTCCATTTTGCGCGAATTTGGAAACGTCAACACGAAATGCAAAAACTTTGTCACCACGAGTCGAACTAGGGACCCCTTTTCTGGTATTCAGAGAGCCGTTCAGGAAAAATAAACCATGCTTCTGTGGTCCCCATATCGCCCCTC